TCCTTCCCCTTTTTCACCCAGGCGGATGGGTAAATCCACTCGTCCCACTGGGTGGACGACTACTCCTCCAAACCCTACTAAAGGGTGGGATGCCGGATGTATGCAATCAGTCTGATATTTTAGTTTCGACAGACATTTGCTACTAATGAGATCTGAGGAGCTTCCGGTATCTATGAGGATTCGGCCAACTCTCTGGTTGGCCACTTTACATTCAATAACGATAGGGTCGTCATGCGGCCCTCTTACCCCTCCTAGATCTTCTTCAATGATGACAATCTCAGGAAATGAATATTTGGAGGGCCGTTCTTGGTGAACGGAATTTACATCTAACCGTCTGATATTGTCTTTGTTGCCCCTAATAGTGGGGCCGCCTCCTGAGAAGCCGCCTGCAATGGTGTAGACGACTGCATCATCTGTATCGGAGTTGTCGGCCTGTTGATTCTTTTTGGCCGACTGCTTTTTCGAGGAAGTGTTCCCCGTAGATTTCTTGACATAAGTGTCAAGATCACCTTGCTCAGCCAGGCGGTCCAGATACCGCATGAGACTGATGCATTCATTGGTGTGATGACCAACATCTTCATGATAATCACAGAATTTTTCTTGGTTCCGGTTGTTTGCAGAACCCTTCATGGGGACCGGCTTCTCAATTGAGATCCGTCCCTTGATTTCCTTTAGGATAAATTGGCTATCCTTGTTAAACGCATACTTTGGGGAGTATGGTTTGAATTCTTTTTTCTTCTTCTAGGTCGGCTGTTTAGAGGAATCAGCCGCCCAGACCTCTTTTCTCTTCTCATCTTTGTTTGACGACTGTTTCTGTCGTCCTTCTCTTTTGTCGGACCTTTTCCCGTCTGACTGTTTTACCGTACTACAAAGATCAGTCGCTTGTATATAGGCTTCCGCTTCAATCAAGGCCTCTTGAAGAGTCGCCACCCTCTTTCGGACCAAATCAAATTTGAAGGTCGACCCGTCTTTGAGACCTCTGAAAAAGTCAGTATAGGCTACTTCATCCGGTAACCCTTGAATCTGTATTCTCATCAGGTTAAATCGCCTGATGTAAGAACGAAGCCCCTCCTTCTCGCCCTGCTGAATTGTTCCTAAATCAAGGGCCGTCTTCTTCGCAGGGATGTTCATGGCGAAGTTGGAGGTGAATAAGTAAGCAAGCGTCTTAAAGTTATTTACACAACCAGTCGGCAGGTTGTCGAACCATTGTTGTGCGATTCCTTTGAGAGTCGCTGGGAAACACTTGCACCAAGTGGGATCATCCAACCCTTGAAGGTACATCAGGTTGGTGAATGCCATCAGATGGTCTTCTGGGTTAGTAGTGCCGTCATAGGCGCCTACTAATACATTTTTCACTTTGGCCGGCTGAGCGGCTTCTGTAATTTCCTTGGAGAAGGCCGACGGCTGTTCATCAAGTCTAAGCAACCGTAGCTGCCAGTCCATAGGTTGGACATTTTTTGCTGCATGCCCACCAAACGGAGGTGGCTGTAAAAAATATTGTTGTTGCGGTACAAACGGTAAGTTTGGTACCGCCTGGTCGCTATGAAAGCCGGACTGACGGGAGGTGCCGCCTGACTGACCCTCATGATACGACTGAGTATGCCTCATCGAGGTATTTCGCAGACTGTCTTGGAAGTTTGAAGTAGAGGCCGACTGTGACAATCGGTCACTCTTCTTCTGCTCTAGCAGTAGCCGAGCGTCTGTGTATGTTTTCCTCGACCCGTCCGCCTGAATATGACGAACAGGTTTCCTATTTCCTGGAGTAGGAAAACGGTATTTTGTGAAATCAAGGGCAGGTGGCTCCCACTTCCTAGATTTAGGATGAGGGGTCGCCTCTCGCCCTTGAACTGGCTTCCTCTTCCGTGAAGTGGAGGGTTTCTTAGCCGACTGCTCCTTGTCAAGAGCAGGCGGCTTCTTGTTGATCAACTCTTGAATTTCTCCCTTGAAGTCCCTCATGAAGGTCATGAGTTCGTTCCTTGTGATGGGAGCAGACCCATCAGTCGGCTGCTGCCGAACAGGCGGTGCGCCTGCTGGCTCACTTCTAGTTTGAAGATGTTCCCGTTCCCTCCTTTCGGTATGACGGGTACGTCGGGCCCTTAGGGTCCCGTCTGAAGTTGTGTGAGCTTCAACTTCAAATTCATTCTCAGTATCGTGGTCCGACTGAACTAGAGGGTCGTCCAGGGGACGTCTCTCTTCAGGAGCCGGTACAAACGTGGATGCCATCTCAGAAGTACTCTCCCCACAGACGGCGCCAAGATGTTTCGGGGTTTTCTGATGTCCTGCGGGAGAGTTACAATTCCAAGACTGGAACATGTACCTGCAAAACAAACGGATGCTCCGGATGATTGGAGATCCGCCTCCGACGGTCAAGTTAGTACTTGATTAAGGAGTAATTAATGCGGAAATTAAAGTGATTGGGTCTCTCTAGGTGAGAGTGTTTAATGTGTGTAATCTACGTTTTTTTGCGTAATCTCCCTTAATGAGGATTAAGGGAGGTATTTATAACCTCGGGAAACGTGTCAATCTAGGTTTAGGTTAACCTTGGGCTGATTGGGCTTCCCTCGGAAGTTGGGCCTAGGTGACCGGCTTCTCCATTAGGCATGGAGTATGCCACGTGTCATGACATAATAAGTCCAGGGTGGACGAATAAGCGTGTGCCACGTGGCAAGCCCTGAGAGGTCCAGCTGGGGGACACTTGGCAGGACCTGATTGGCCCACGTGGCGCATTCCGATTGGTGGGAGCAAAATCCCCTAATCACTCACCATGCCATTCAAGTCGCGGAATTTGTCCCAAAATACAAGGACAATTAGCTAAAATGTATATGAAGATATATATATATATATAAATACATATGCATAAAGAACATACCGACTCAGGAACAAACGGTATCCCCTCCTCATCCTCCGCTGCTGGAAGGATCTCACAAATTACCGACCCAACGTCATCAGTATACGTGATCTCCGCTGTAGGAGGCATCCAACCACCTAGCTCAACCAGCTGAAAAATAAATAAAATAAAAGGGTCAAAGTTCCGAAAAAATAAATATAAATAACAAAAGAGAGTTAATGTACAAACCGGAACAAAAGCTAGGAAAGCAGTCAGCCTGGATGCAATGAAAGTCGGATACGATGCATCCGGCAGCACCAGTTGCTCCGCTAGATAACCAAGGATCGCCTGAGCTCGATCCTCGGTAGACAGCAAATCCGGACGTAACATCCGGACCGGAGGATCCACGGAAACCTTGAGCTCCTCGAATGTAGACTGCCAGAGAACACGCTCACCTAAAAACCAAGCGTCTATCCTCTGAAAGACTAGAAGTCCCTGATAAAAAGCCTGAAAATGGCAACAAATCATGCCAGACCGAACAGCCTCAGGGACTCCGACGATCACACTCCAAGGACGGAGGTCGATCTATAAACACAACCACATGAAAAATCGTCAGAAATAAATAAAATCAAAAGTTGCACATGTACTTGGAATACTCACCGACGTACGAGTCGCCGAAAGGATCCTCTGACGAAAGTCGCCGGCAGAAGTGGCTCGTCTCTTTTTAATCATGACCAATCGATGGCCGATAGGAAATTGAGCATCCCCAAGCATCCTGGGGCTAAGAAAGGCATGTACGAGTATCCCCAAGCCTAAAACCGAAAAATGATAAGCTTAAAGGAGAAAAGAAAAAATAATAATTGAAAGAAGCTTAAGGTACGTACCTCAAGGATACGACCGTGCCACGTAAGGGAGATCCGAGGCACCTCAGTAGCTGTCGCGAAATCCATCACCCGGGTCGCCTTTCCCATAACCGTAAGCATACGACACCTCTTCCCAACTCAGGTTACCTACTTTCCCCAAATCACTGAGGCAAATAAGTAACCCAATAGCGAAACGCTCTCTTCGATCACTCAAGATAGTGACGGAAAGAACGTGAGCAATGTATATCTGAGCCAGCTGCTCAGGTGTACACTGCCGATCAAGCTCGTCAGCTGACAATTCATCGGCAAGAACCGAGTACGGACAATACTACATGTACACGTGAAGGGCCTCCGCGAGACGGTCCCCCACAAGGTCGCGCAGTCTCTCGTCTGACCCCTTAACGAACTCTATGGCTACGGGCTCGCCCCCATAAGGAAAACCCGTAATCATAGAGAAATTAAAAGGGGTAACTGTGATCTCTCCCCATGGAAAGTGGAAAGTGTTGGTGGAATCCCACCAAAACTCCAGCAATCAAAAGAGGAAAGCTGACGACGCAGGCTGACTCGATAAATCCCGAAGAGCCACCAGATGGGAGTTAATCCCTGAAAGCTCCACAATCTCCTTTGCCACCTCAGGCAAACACGCAAAACGGGCTCGCAGGTCAGAAGAGCCGTATAAACGCATGCTAGGCTCTCTCTAAGGAAAATAAAAAAAATAATAATAAAAAACGGTTATGGATTAAAAAGGAGAAAAAAACAAAAGAAAAGAGAAAAAATGAAGGCGCAAAGAACTCACGATGCCGCGCCACCTTCTAATCGAGACATGATGGTTTAGGTCCCACTTAAGGACCCTAAGGTCCCAGTTGGGAGGAGCCTCCCAAACCCATCCTTCCGGCGACGTCGATCGGCTGCAACGCGTCGCTCCCGAATCTCCTCTCGAGGATGGGTCACCCTCTCTCGAGGACAAATCTCCTCAGCATCGACGAATGGAGGCGAGACCATGCTATGATGGATTAAGTTTCTTTATTAGTTTACTTTCTTTCCTAAACTAAGCTAATATGCGTATTCTAGACCCATTTTGGCAGCATAACGGCTGTCGATTGGGAAAAACATGAAAATTGAATGCCACCCATACTTGGGGGCCACGATACCTGCAGTTAAACTCAGTAAATAGGGGCTTCTAACACCCACAAAAGTAATTCTATACCAGTTTCAACTAAGCATTCAAGGGATTGTATTTCAAAATCTCAAAGAATAAATATCTCCTAGATGAATAACAGTAATACAAACATGATTATCGTCTACCAAACAATTTTGAGGTTTCAACATGACAAAAATAAGCTAAGAGCATACTTCGCGCCATTTTTTCAACAATTCAAAATTCCCAAAAAAGTGAAATTTGAAAGTAATATTAGTTCCATCACTATAATCTACCTCATAATTAGCAAATGTAACCAAAATGAGCAAGAAAAAGCAATAAAATCGAGCAAAATTTGAAGAAAAAGAGCAAGAACGAACTTGAACAAAGAAATGCCATCTCTCTAGGTCGGATAAGCTTTCTAGAAGAATATCGAACTATTGAGGCTTGTGAAAAGCTTTGTGACAATACTCACTCTTGTCTTGGTCCTAATGGTATCCCTCTGGTTTTTTTAACTGATTAATGATGGAGTTTTTTTGTTTATTTGCTGAAATTTGATATTTTTGTTGTTTTATTGACTATTTTTTCTGATTATTTTAACTTTGTATATGAACAGATTAACAGGGAAGATGGAGAACTTGAATTAAAACTAAAGTGATAAGTAAAGTGACATTTTCCGCTCTTTAGGACCTTTTAAACAGCAGCATCAAGTGAGTTTCACGCTCCAGGCCTTTGATTTCCAGTATCTTTCTTGTTTATGTTAAATCCATTATGCATGTTTAGTTTGGTGAATTTGAATTTTGGGTTTTGTTTATTTATGCAATTAGATTGAAATAGTGTTTATGGATGAGTATTGTTGGAATTTTGTTTAAAGTAGCTTGAAAAATTGAAGTTAGTTGGGTAATTAGATCTAAATAATGTGACTATTATCGAATTGCACAATAGATTAAAGGTCACTTTTTTAATTAGATCCAAATAATGTGAACTATTTCGGAAAGCAGAAGATTAAAGGTTACTTTTTTAATTATTCATCTCCTATATTTTCAATTGCTATTTTCCCCCAATTTTTAGAAATATTTGAAAATCCTAATTCTTCTATTTTCGTTTGATTGACAGAATTTGTAGCAGTTGAGTTTATAAATCTGACCATCATGTCGCAGAGCTCTTTCAAGCTTCAACATTTTCTTGGTAATTCCTAAATGTATTTTACCGTTAATTTGATAATTTATAGTAAATTGTTCTTTTTTCCTTTGATTTTCATTATTGTATGTTCGATTTTTATTTTCTGGGTTTTTTCCCGATTAAATATTAGGCTCAAGAAAAAAGGAAACTAAATGTATGCCTTCATCAAAACAGGCTAAATCTCAGGCCTGAAAGAAAAAGAATTAAAGGTCACTTTTTTAAATTATTCATCTCCCATATTTTCAATTCAATAGCATGTAGATTTTAATTTGAGAGTAATAGAAAGGAATTTACTTTTTTTTGTTTTTTTTTTTTGGTAAAAATTTCAGAGGTGGAGACATGGAGTAAAGAAAAGTAAAAGCTTTTATAAAATGGTTTGCTTTCTAAATAGCAAGAAGCTTTTATGTTGCTAAGCTTGTGTTTAGTTCCAATTATAACAATTATGTTGCTCAAATAAGTACCAACTTGCTGCGTTAGGAATTCAATGCAAAGCAGTCAGATTTTGGGCTTGGCAAAGGGGGTCTCGAGGAAGCTAAGGTAAAGTTCATGTATCTACCCCCATGATGGGGACCTATGAGTTATTGAGTTAAAAATATTTCGGTGAACAAAAAGAATGGAAATATGGTGCTTGGTTGATGATTTTTAAGGAGAGAAAGAGTCCTTTATAGGAGTGAGGAAGTTGATTGGAAGAAAGGAATAGGTACCTATAAGGGAGGGGTGAAGAAAAGCAAAGAAATCTTGGGAAATGGAAATTAATAATATAGAGAAGAGGAATGTTATTGCTAATTATGGATTGATTGTCTTACAAAACAGGACTGTATATTCTACTGCATTTTGTTTGAGGTTCTTTTATGTTGATTTTAAGTTCAATCAATTAGTCCTTTGTTCATAATGGGGATTGGGATTAATTTTTGTTGTGTAAGCATGTTAATTGTGATGGGTTTAGCTAATAAAGTTGGGATTTTTGCTAATTATATGATTTTCTTTATGTATGATGTTCGGTAGTTGCTGTTCAACTCAATATTGGGATTAAAATTATAATATTTGGGATTTGCTAATTGAAGTGGGTGAAATTAGATGTGCTATACTATTCTATTGGTTTTGTATACTTATGTTACATGCATGGAACTTATAAAGAAATTTCCCCTGAGGTTGTATGTGGGAATTAGAGTTGGATAGGGTTTTGAATTTCTGGATTTTTTGTTAATTAAATTTTAGTTCAGAAGATATGAATTTCAGATTTGCCAAGAACAATAATTAATGGTTTTTACTCATGAGGCTTTGATGCTACAGGTTTTAAAGTTTGGTTTTCATGAATTTTGTGAATTGTGAAGTAGTTTAGAACTATTTTCTAACCGCGTAGATGATTGGGATGTTGTAGGTTTGTAATTTTTATGGATTGTGTTCTTTATTCAATTTAAAAGCAATTTTTATTATTCTTGATGTTGGATGAAAATAGTGAATTGAATTGTACTATAATGAACACAAAGAGGGGCTGGGAGTTCACACAATTTTTATTTATTTTTTACTTTGTTAAATATGATGGTTTGAAAGTGAGAATACGAGAAGCAAATCGTTCATGGGATTATATTTGAGTAATAATATATTTTTTGGTCAAATTATGTCTTGTAGTAGCTTTTAATTATAATGACATTTGTTTCCTTTAGTTAAGGTGTTGACTTCATTGTTCTTTAATTTTGCAGAAAATCAGTTGTCGGGGAATCTCAGCCATTTTCCGTTTGTTTCCCCCTAATTTTTCTTCTCACTTTGGCTTCCATTTTCTGTTGCCATTTTTGCCAACACCTCTACCGTCTACTGTCACAACCTCTCAGGCTTAATTTTCCCCTAACGGCTTGCTGAGGTTATTTGGTTCATTTCTCATCCCCCTTTTTTTTTTTCTAATTCTAGAATAATGATGCTGAATGAATAGTGGGTTCTATGAATTTGTTTTGGGGTGTCTTGAGTGATTTTGATATTGTCTCTCAGGAATTTGTCTTGAATTGTTGTGCCTTGCTTCTTACTTGTGATGCAGTTTGCTGGGTTATGCTTTCCCAATCAAGGGATGGCAACTTCATGTGATATGCCTATTTCTGTTTTGAAATTTGACACCTCTCTAAAATGATATATAGAAGGGGAAAGGTACCAGTATAGAGGAACATTATCAAGTTATTGTTATGGGGTGCAGCTGTCTGGGACATTATTTCTCAAGGTAGTGCTTTTTGGTCAGATAGATTTTGCAAATAGTTAGCTTGAATAAGATACTTAGGAAAAAGGTCAATGACTTTTTCTATAATCTATACTTCTTTCTAAGTAGTGAGCAGCTCAGGTCTTGTTTTGATGTTTCTAGGGGCATTAAAATGTGCAGTTCTCTTTTTTTCATTACTCTGTACCATGATGATTGGTGTATTATTGCCACAATGTGCAGGTCTTGTTTCAATGTTTCTAGGGGAATTAAAATGTGCAGTTCTCTTTTTTTCATTACTCTGTACCATGATGATTGGTGTATTATTGCCACAATTGCAGGTCTTGTTTCAATGTTTCTAGGGGAATTAAAATGTGCAGTTCTCTTTTTTTCATTACTTTGTACCATGATGATTGATGTATTTCCACAATGACACATTTTCCACATTGCTATTTTGGTGGATTCTTTTTGGGATAGCATTTGTCTGAACTTTATTTTATATAATTAATAAAGAAAGGAAGGTTTAAGACAATATTATGCTATCGCATTTTTCATGTTATGACATGAGCATGACGCCATTAGTTTCCATTGTGATTTTCAAAAAAATATGAAGATTCTAGGTGGCAGTACTTGATGGGTGGAATATTTCATTTTGTGTAAATTTCTTGTTTGTTTTAATTCCTTTGTGATATATTCAGAGCTTCCTTGTAGCCTTTTTTCCCTTAAAAAATCAGTGATTTATTGGAGGGTTTGATGTCTCGGGTCATCTGCCGCTCAGGTTGACGTTCCAACTTTGGTTCCAATGGAAGGAATTGATTCTCTTGGACAAATTTAAATACTTAAACGGGTCCTTTAGGTCCGGTTTCATCATCATCTGCTACCCTTAAAGTTTTCATTACAGTGTAATGGCAAGAAATACCCTGTCAAGTTGCGGCCTGATATTGGATACTTTATAAAGCCCTTAAAAATGGATGTTCCAGAATTTAGAAATAAGGAATCACAGTTGCATGGCATGTTTGAATATGTGAGAAGGTATTCCCTTTGATTATTTTTGTTCTTACTCCTGTTTTGTTCTTGATTACGTGAGCTACCTGATTATCTTACTACATAAATTTGCTTAACTGCATGTGCGGATGATCAACTTAGCTGATTACAATCTTGAGGGGTGGTCCTCAACATAGACATGCATGCTGTCATTAAACTCTTGTTTAAATAACACTTTAGCTTTACCTTAAACATGAATTGTAGAAATAAACAGTTGTTAAATGGAAGCAAGAGTACATATGGAAGAATAGTCACATTCATGATTGTATTTGTAATTTTTTTGGGTTTATACCAAAATTAGAGTTGTTTAAAAAAAAAATTATGCTGAGTTTCTCAAGCAGATTAATGGTAAGACAACAAGATACTGCGCTAATTGCATTAATCTTGCATTTTGCTCATCTTACTCACCCTAATTTCTGAATATGATGATAACCTAGATTTTAATTTTTTTCATACTCCTATGTGACAGTTTTTGAGCTCATTTCTTTGATTTTTTTTCAATTTTTTGGAGAATGGGGGAAGAATTTTATGAGTGTAAAATTGCTGGGGTGTTTTGGGGATCATTGCCTAGTTTTCCACTCTCTTTTTCTCTCCTTTGATTATGATTATCAATATTAAACGACCCTCTCCCAAATTCCAAACCCTAAACCCACAACCTTAACCCTGACTTTTGGGGAATTTTGCTGAATCTTGAATATGTTGCAGAGGTGATGATGTTGCTTTGAGTTATCCTAAATATTGATTTTCAAATTCAGGTATTGGAGATCGGAAGGTATTGTTCATCCGTTTCGCGATTGTAATCTCTCTTTCATTTTCTCTCTCTACATAAATATGTGGCTATTGCTTCTTGTTGTTATTGTTGTTGTTGGGCAATGGCTTTCAATGTCCTCTTTATGCCAGAGCTATATAAAAAATAAAATAAAATAAAACTGAGCCTCAATAATTAAATGTTCAACGATGGAAATGAAAACATTTTTTTTTCCTTCTAGAAATGGCATCTGAATTGCATAACTGGTATAATCTCGGCGGAAGAATGTGAACTTTTGGATTGAGGAAATCTTTAAACAGGTGGCTCTCTAAGTTTAATTCTCTCCTTGAGTGTACAATTTTATGCTATGAAATCCCTTATGATTTGATTCAGATCAAAGTTGTCCTTGTATGAGCCCAAATTTACGCACTAACATGAAAGTGGTGAGGTAGTGGGTTTTAAGGGCTAAGAGCCTTTGGGAGTTCTGGGAGCTGTTGAGATTTGGGTTCGATTTTTGAAGGAGTTTGAATTTCCGAAAACCTTCTACAACTTATCATCAGTGTGATTAACATGATGCCCTCATATTTGATGCTTAGCCTTTGATTCTAAAAGTCTTTGCTTAAGGATCATCATCCGTTGATGTGTGTGTGTTTTCTTTTTAAAATTAATCTCTTCTGTTATGGATCATCATACGCTAATGTGTGTCTTTGCTTATGGATCATCATTCGCTTATGGATCATCATACTTAGCAGTTTTTGACTCTTTTTATTTTATTTTATTTTATTTTTATAATGGTGTTACAAGATCTCCATGAAATCGTGTTATTTTTATTGTGTTTTTAGTGCTTAAGGAGGTAAGAGAGATGCTCGGATGAAGTGTGATTCTACAAGGTGGAAGCCGAGGATGAATTCTATGAAGACATACCCTGTCATTTAACGGATTGGACTGACTGTATTTATTTTATTTTACGTATCATAATCTGTAATCTTTTGCAAAATTTCAATTGTTTTTAGGGAATAAGTGTCAACAACTTATCCATTGCTTATGTAGCAGGCTTAGTTTTAATGGTTTAAAGTTTTAAACTATTATGATTGAGCTAACAATTCAATTGAAGTTTGTTCATTAGAAACAGTGCGGATTGCTAAACTTCGAGCATTATTTTACCACGTATATTAGCTTCTCCTTTGTTTTAATGGCTCTCAAAATTATGTCAAAAGAGTTTTTACTAGGGTTCCACCTATTTTGATACATGTATGTAATAACTTTGTAATTAAATTACTTAAGAAATATTGGGATAGACTAATTTTTGTTATTGCAATGTTGAGGTTTTAGCACAATTTATATGGTGTTTGCAATTAGTTTAGTTTTTAAAGTTTTAAACAATCATTATTGGATGCTTTAAAGTGTAATCTGATTTATATTTTCCAAAGTTTAATTATCTTTAAAGTGTAAGTGTAGGGAATATTTCAAGCATTACCCCAAACTTGAACCCCACTGTGATCATACACTAAAGTACGATGGCGTCCAAAGGGAAGGAAGCTAGAGCAAAACAGTCGCCAACAAGTTTTAGGAACTTGTAAACAGTTCACAGGATGAAGGTTACACCCCTTAACGATCTAGGAGATCGTCAACTCCAATAGGTCTAGAACCATGACTGGTTGTTCGGGGATGAAGGTACAAATCAAATCTAAAAGAGATTGAACCCACACTAATAATAGACCTCTACTTTATTCTGATCGTATTCATGTGCGCTTTATGACTAACATGCAATAAATAGGATTAACACTAAACCTATTTAATCTATGCTGGTTGAATATTAATGCACAAATAAACCTATTATTGGGGATCAATTGAATTACAATCAAATTAACCCTAAATAAAATTATTAATTATCTTATTAAGCGTGATTACAAGTACAAATTCCCTTTAAACATGCATAAAAGGCGTGATCAAGCAATAACAAATAAATATCAAGCAACATAATAATAAACATCAAAAATCATCATAATAATATTATAATCATAAATCATGTTAAAGCATAATATTAATAGCAAGATCCTAGGCATGATACTAACAAGATTAATAACAAACCCTAGCATGTCACTAAACATCAAAGATTAAAGCTTTAGCCCTAACATGATACTAACATGATATTAGGAAAGAACATAGGAAGCATCACAGAAATCATAATAAGCATATTTGATATTAGAAATTATAGTTGTTACCCTAAACATGATACTAGGAAGCATTATTGTCATTCAAAACATCAAGCATCCTAACATGATACTAAGAATCATAATAACAACCTCGACATGATTTCTAAGAACCATAAAGTCAATTAAAGCACTTACTTGGATGTCTCGTACCTCTTTCTAATAACAAAATACACGCGTTAGTAACTTCAAGGAAAATAATAAAACAAACAATTAAATTAAATAATTGAAATAGAGATTATTGAAAGTTTAGACTAGATTTGGGACCAAACCCTCTGAAATTAAAACCTTTCAAGTCTAGGGTGAAGGCAACTTCGAATTTGGCTAAGTGTGTCTAGATCTTGGGAATGCGGAATATTGTAAGCAAAAACTAGTTTAGAAAAGAGAGAGAGAGAGAGTAATCAAGAGATTCTTGATGTGAGTTGGTGAAAGAGAGAATTAGAGTGAAATTGATGATTGAAAACGGAGGTTTTAAGAGGCTATTTATAGAGAAAATCAGTCGGACGAATAGAAAAACGAATCAGAGTTTCGAAGAGAATAAAACACTATCGGCGCTTGACGCAGACATTAGCGCCAGGCGCTAAGGCTAGCACCAGACGCCAAGCCTAAGCGCCAGGCGCTAATGCTGTCGTTAGGCGCTAGAAACAGTTTTTACGCGTTTTCTTAATTTTGATAAAATTTAGCCGTACAGAAGCGCAAAATCATATTTTCCTTAAAAACACTTCTTTTATTCTGATTAAAACTCTTAAAAGTCAACTAAAGTCAATTTATCAATACTAATTAAATTAAGAATGAAAAGAATCTTCTAGAAGAATCTAGAAAACTTAAATCAATTTTAATTACATTAGGAATGATAAATCAATATTAGGCCCTCATCTAGATCATTGGGCCGCACATAAATATCAAACCGGGCCCAGCTTAGTAATTTGGCCATAACTTCCTCATTATTCATCGGAATTGGGCTTATAATATATCGCTGGAAAGCTCTTTTTAAACCCCATCCAACTAAACTACTATTGGACCCTTTACATGGACCAAAAAAAACTGGATTGGCTGTTTTCTTAAAATAGGTTTGCAAAAACACAGAGAAAGAAAAGAATTAAAAACTTAACCTCAACACTAGACTTTCCATGCTTTCACTTCATTCGATTATGATTCGACATGAAAGGTACTCATCACTGGTTTTGGTTTTGGGGTGACATAAATGGGTTTCTACTGAAGCCCACACTTTGACTGAGTTTGGAGAAACGCAAGTTTCGAAAACAAAAGTCAAAGTATCGATAGGGACGGAGAATGATTCCGAACGTTCTGCGATCTTAAATCATTCTTGTAACAGATAAAAGTGTTAAGAAACCCGTATCTTGTACCGTCGAGCACACGTCTCTGAAGGTACCCGATTTGTTGCATTTTGTCGTTGTGACAACCTTCCACAATCTATGGAACGCCGTCTTGTTGTTTTGATGTTCACTCGTCTGTGAACAATAAAATTTTTTTGGATATGTTCATGCATGTTTGAACCAAGAGCTTCTGAATGATATGCCTACGCGTCCTTGAACAAAAGAGCTTCTGAATGATATGCCTACGCGTCCTTGAACAAAAGAGCATTGATGATATGTCCACGCGTCTCTGAACAAAAGAGCCTTGATGATATGTCCACGCGTCTCTGAACAGTAGAGCTTGATGATATGTCCACGCGTCTCTGAACAAAGGAGCTTTGATGATATGTCCACGCGTCTCTGAACAAAAGAGCTTTGAAAGAAATTTCCACGTGTCTTTGAACAAAAGAGCTTGAAAGGATTGTCCACGCGTCTCTGAACAATAGAGCTTTTTGATATGTCCACGCGTCTCTGAACGAAAGAGCTTTTGAATTATATGCCCACGCGTCTCAGAGCAAAAGAGATTTTTTTATATATGTCCACGCGTCTCTGAACAAAAGAGCTTGAATGATATGCCCACGCGTCTCTGAACAAAGGAGCTTGAATGATATGCCCACGCGTCTCTGAGCATAAGAGCTTGAAATACATGACCACGCGTCTCTGAGCAAAAGAGCTTTGATGATATGTCCACTCGTATCTGAACAAAAGAGCTTTGATGATATGTCCACGCGTCTTTGAACAAAAGAGCTTTGATGCTTGAATGTTTGTTGCGATCGTTCGGTGGCTACGAACAAGAGCTTTGCTGAGTGGTTGTATCTTGTAAAAATCAAAAGATTGCCAAAAGACTTTGTTGGTGTTTTCCTAAGGGTTGACCTAAGGATTGATGTTTTTCTTAGGGTTGACCTAAGGTGATTGCCTGACTTGAGGTTGAGTCAAGGTGACTGACTTGAGGTTGACCCAACGTGAATTGACTAACTTGAGGTTGACCCAAGGTGAATTGACTGACTTGAGGTTGACCCAAGGTGAATTGACAGGTGTGACTCATGACCTGTGTGTGCATTGTATTGTGATCGTGCGACTCAAAAATGCAAAAAAGAAAAAAAATTTCGTCATTTTTGTGGAGGGTACCGACTTACTCCCAAAAAAAAAAAGACACGAAAATGAATCAAAGTGAAGTTTTTTGAAGATGCATGTTGAATTAGCTTAATCAAATGTTGTCTCTCACAGTACAAGGATTGACATCTTAGACTATCCTAGTTGACTCGATAATGAAAGTATTTAGGTAACTTAGGCGCGGAGGCTAAGTACTTGGTACTTCGTGATGCGATAACGATTACAAGCGATGAGATAATTTGATATGACAAGGCGTGCTTCAATGTCGTGTTAAAATCTCATGACAAAGGGTTCCTAAGGGGAAGACTATTTGGTCATGTATCTGTGCAGTATGTGAAAGTGACATTAAGGTTAGGTTGCAAGGGCTAAGTGTGTGGGAAAATATTATTTCAAGAACATTCAAATGATGGTGACTCTTTAAGCTAGGTAAGCTAATGATGTAAGGATCAAGCCCCCAAGTCTAGCTCTAAGTAGACAGGGATGAGCATTGGAGATCCTTTGATATGAACATGGTGTGTGAATGTGAATATGAACGCATATTTATTACGCCGCACCTCGATATGAGGTTGCCTTCGTTTCCATTAAGAATCGGGACGAACGTAGCTCTAGCCGAACCTCACACAAATGTGTGTATACCTCAAAAAGGTCTTTTTAAGGGTTGTAACGTGGTTAGGCTAAAGGTTGAAGAAGAAGGGGATAAAAGGCTCAAGACCTTAGATAAGCCCCCAAGGTGTGGAACTTTACTTTTGGAATATTTGTATTTTCATGCTTGAGGTTTCTCACTCTTTTTTTAGCTCTTTCTTTTGCTTTAGAATTTATCTTATTTTTATAAGTGTGGGCAATCCCGATCATGTGGTCTATTACTCACTTGGCATTCATGTTTTTCAGGCACGGTACCGAGCATTCGATAAGAGACTCAATCTGAGACGTGTTCATATCGAAGACATTTTCATATCAAAGACATTGGAACACTTACCCTTTTGTACACTTTTATTTATTTATTTTTTCTTATTTTTTGCTATTTTAATCTTTTGAAGTCACTCAAGCTTTTTGTTCTTTGAAAAATGCATAAGTTTCACCCCATCCCATCCCAAGGTTAGGTAGATATGGGTTGAAAAAAGAAAGGTCTATCGTTAGAAAAGGCTCAAAGTTATGTATCAAGAAAGGATTGCATATTTGAAAGGGTGAAAGGTATGATATAGCTACAAGAGGTACCTCAAATCATTGGTTTACCTTGTGCTTAATTCGACAATTTTTTTTTTATTTTTTTTTATAAAATGCAATGCATTGCATTGATCATATGCAAGGAAATAAAATGCTCATTTTATTAAA